TATTTTTAATTCCGTCTTTTCCATTCATTCTATTTCTGGCCACTGTAACTGAATAAGTAATGCTTATGATGGGTGCAATTATCAGAAAATTCCATTAGTAGCAATAGATTCAACTGTCACAAAACTATTTGAATTAAGGCTCATGAATAGGAATCATTAATGTACCTTCATGGCATATCCATTAAAGACAATTCCACATACGCAAACAAAATACATTATATCTGTTATTTGATTCTTATTTCGAATTCACATCAATAATTTCAATGAGGGACTTGGCTAGGATGTCGCTCGGTACTTTTTTGAGAAATAGAAATAATTAGTACCTACACATCTATACAAGAAGAAGTGAAATGTTGAAAATTATATATTTTGTTTTCTGAAAACAAAGTTTTGATTGTGTATTCGAGATTTTACGCTGCGATTGCGTTTTGTGTTAGATATTTAAGACTTCTTGTTTTTTGTCATATATGAAACTGAAAGTTCGTTTTGGAAAATTTGAGAATACTCAAGTATATTTTTGAGTATGATTTCTATTTATTCATCAAGAAAGTTGTATGTAACTTTCAAGAATAACCAGTTCTGTGAAAATATTTCGTTTGTGAATTCTGGAATAGTACCTACCTATATACATGAAACATGGTAAAGTACAAACTATAAAGAAAAATTACAAAAAAATAATGGGATTTCGTAAATTTGCGGTAAAACAAGTTCAAATGATGAATCGTAATTTCATGTGATATATTCAACAAGATGTCTTATAGTTTTCAATAGAACAACTAGTAATGATGACCTCACTAGGTAGAGATTACCAATAAAATCATATACAGCCCAAAAGCTTAGGAGATTTGATAGTGGATAACTTCAAGATTTTCAATTTACATATTCACACTGTTTACATATCCAACAGTGAACTGTCCAAATGAATATGTCGCAATGTTGGGAGTTTTTTTCAATAGAAGAAACTAACAAGCAGATATTATCATATTATTCAATCTGTATCAGTAACTAATTGGAAACTATCTATATGGTAGAAGGACTCTAGCAAATATATATGCGGTCTATACTCATTACAATCTGCGTGAGACGGTAGCCTAGTAGGTTGACGTTTGTGGTTTGCTCTACTCATTCAATCGACATATGTGCGGACCGATGGTTCGAATCGCAAGGCCGGACGATCGATTTTCACTTCGTATCGTTCAACCCGTGTTAGGAATCACACGTTTAAAGATAAGACCTTGTTAGTCCTTAGCTCGCACTAGTTTCAAGTTTTGAGAGTTGTCACTCGTAGGGGATAGCTGGTTGATGGAAAAACAGATATTTTTTTGGCATTTATCAAAATCCCTGATAAATCATTTTACAAAAGAATGGGATGTCAGAACTTCGATATATCTCCGGATAATTAACAGATATACAAATAAATAGGACAAATAAATGGCAGCCGGTTTAGATTAAATCTAAATCTTTTCTATCCATTATAATAATTATCCAAATTTCACGTTATACATTTCATTTGAGATACGTTTCGATACACGGCAGCTTCATCAGTTAGACTCTTGATAATTGAATAATTCTTGTAAAACAGATAGATTAAAAAAAAAAACAATACCTAGAAAAACAGGTATGAATAAGTTGATTATGATATTTTATGCATAAACTTGAATCGGTAAATAATTTTGGCAAAAACAGAACATTTTTAAAACACAATCACAGTATAACATTACTTCAAAGAGAGCAGGTATGTAATTTATATAACATTATTGACTACGCAGCCATGGCCAACCAATTACTTTGTACGGGAGTTTCATACATGGCTCAAACGGCAATCTGAATCGGGCAAATTTTCAATTATGTGTCTGATTGTTTTGGATTGGGGATTATACACCGACAAATATTGAATCAATCAGTCCACATTAGACGCAAACTCACTAACTCTATAAGGCAAAGGATTCACTAACAATAGATCAGTGTTCAATCCGATAGAGCGTTGAAAGAGAAATTAATGTTGTTCACCGAAGTTACGGTCGCTTCCCAATCTATATACAGGATGATAGTGTTCCAAGTGAAATTATATATTCTAACTCTTTCATGTATCATTTTGTGTAGCGTTCTGATATCTGTTTCAATTTCATAAAGAAGACATTTCATAATACAAATTATCTTATACATCTTATTTTTCAAGTTTCATTTCATCTATTTCCAATGTATCTTTTGTTGCCTCTCATATCAAAAAACACGATCTTTATAATATACTAGCGATTTTGCACAGGTAGCATCATCATAATTCAACCAATTTACATTAAACATAATAATGCTCCAACTTCGCACAGGTATGATAATAATAATAATAGCGTTCATTCACATTTTTTTTTTCACATGGTCTTTAACCTTAGTCATATATTTGCACAGCACTCGCGAATGGTATTTTCCAGATGTTGTATGTCAGTAAATGGTCTACTTCGGTACACTTTTTGTTTCAGGTAACCCAACATTTGTTGGAGGGACTATTTTACAGCAATCGTGTGATGTATTGGTGCGCCATCAAGCTGATACCATAGGTCGCATTAAATATTAAAAGGCATATTATCTAAAACTTCACTAACCTCATTATTCAAAAGGTTGAGATAACTGACGGATGATAAATTTTCCCTAAAGAAAAATGGCCCAATTATTTGGTCGTTAAGTATCCCACATTATACATTAGTTTTAAAGGAATACTGATCACCACATTCAACTGTGAAATTGGGATTTTCTTGGGCCCACCATCGACAATTTCCATTTAATTTCACATTTAATACCTTACGGTTGCGCATAATTTATCTATTTTGATGTTTTTTATTGAAAAGTGTTACGATATTATATACAGTGTCAGCATTAAAGTGCACACCGTATGAGAAACTTTTTTTTCGAAAAGTTTCAATGAAGTTAAACTTCGACACTTGTTTGTGCTTTAAATTTAACTCAAAATGATGCGGCCAACTGCGACCCACTGATGTTCGGTGTTTGTCAAATTCAACTTTTTTTTTAAATTGAAAAAGTGGATTTCTAGATCGAATTTAACAAAAAGTCACTTGAAAAAGTTGTGTCTACGGCAATTTTATATCCATATGCCAAATTTTTGACAGATATCCCCTTTATTTTATAAACAAGTTCGGTTAATTGTCATCAATTCATGTATACATAAACGTCAGTTTCGAAATTTCATATGACTGAAAGTGTCATTCTAGATTTTTCCGTTTCGACACATCTTTTTTATTTCTCATATTTCTGTCAATCATAGAAGAACGAAATGCTATTCTTTTTGTAATTAGGAATTTCTAGATATTCAAAATGATCCTACCTATTTTTGAAACGGAATGATAATAAATATATTTTATTTGTTCAGTACCGCGCATAAAATTTGAATATTTGCCAAGAATGCTACTGCAAGTCTACGTATTTGCTTATATTATCGCGATAGAAACTTTTCGCAACAATAAATAATTCGATGAATTTAAGTTATGAAACACAGCTCAACAGAAATGAATTTGGAATCACTGAGTAACTTTCAAGAGACTCTACTACTATACAGGGTGTTTCCTGACTACCGTACGAAACCTCACAGAGGGTGAGTCGTTAGGTCGTTTTAAAAAAAGTTCTTATGAAGATATGTCTGGAGTTGCTTCGTTTCTGAGATACAGAGCGTTGAACTTGATAGTTCGTACTAGAAACTATGGCGTAAAATGAATTTATCGAAAATACTTTCCCAACATCAGAACAAAAATTACGGTCTCTCGACGCGCGTTAGTGTTCTTATATCCTAGTGGCCTAACTACTACCTGTTAGTATCACCTAACTACACCGGTTAGTATCACATAATACCAAATTGTTTTTCTTCTTTTATTTTTCACAAATCCTATATCAAATATATATCACTTCAGCATTATTGTGAATCTTTTTTGAACTCACCTAAAACGCCAAATTTACTATCGCCACTACACTCAGTAACCGTACATTTTCTTTTGGGGAGTTTTTCAAAGGATCCATAATTTCGAATAAACTATTTTCGATACGTTGAAAATACCTATGACTAGGTTGTCGTCGTTCAGGATACAATCATCAGAGATATGGTAGCATTTCTCAAACATCTCGAATAAACAAAAAGCATATCCACTTTTTCCTCATTAGAAAAATGCATGTTTTCCCCTTGAAATCGCTCACCAAATTGAGTAACCGTTTCAATTTGTATTTGACAATTAACTTGACATTCACATTCGTGTGAATGTCACGATAAAAGGATTTATCGCTTATCATGTTTCTTCTGAATATCATCTATGTCTTTTTTGATACAGTATTTTTATTAGTTATTTCATGTTGATATACTCATTTTCTGAATTTCAAGGGACTTGGAAATTATGAATGGCTTGGTATTGATACAAAGATTATGGTCTCTCTTTTTCGAAACAACCCTGACAGAAATTTATTTGGATTTCAGTGAATATAAATATTTAGGATCTCAATGAACGACATCACCGACGGAAGAACTCTGACAGAATATTTACGATGTGTTTTCGGAAAAAAACGTCAAGAAATAAATATGTTGTAATATATCAATGAATTTGTAATTACAATGACTACCAAAATATATAAAAAAATATACAGGTCCGTATTTGACAAAAAACTTAATGATAGATTTCAATGAACGAAACGTCACATTGGAGAATGTGTTGAACAAGATTATGAAAAACATGAAATGAATCAAAAAGTTTCTCTGGTTTTTTATATCATTGAAAATGGAGGCGGTAGAGCAAAAAAATAAAATCTGTCATTTTCAGTTTTTTGCAAATATATCAGAAACGGTTGGTGATTTCATCTATCTGAGAATACCATTATCTTGCATTCCTGAAAAAGCAACTTTTGTTTCATTCAACCGTCCTTGTAGGACCTACCGTTTCCGAGATAGCAATATTGGTATCAGCTATAAAACCGCCTATATATATTTTCAAACAAAATTTCACACTCACCATCATCAGTATACGGTCCGGCTGAAGCCGTTGGCACCAACTCTGCCAGAACGAGCACCAAACTACTGGCGAGCAGCAACCAAGTGTACTTCATGTCGTAAAGAACGAAAGATCGAAATAAAACACCTCCGGGTCACAGGTGGCTGGTTTACCGTGGCGGAATGAGCAAGAGTAGCGTCGCGACGCAGATATATCGCGTAGACGCCTCCCTTTTCGAAAGAGCATGCGTTCACGGGAGGCGCCCACGAAGTTAACACTTCTTGCGGACGCCTGAAAATAATTGTGCAGCAATTCATGTGAGGCTTTAGTGATTCCTATGATTATGCCGATCCGAAGATGTTGTAGGCGACTAAGTCGACAGATTTGAGAATTCAAGTGGTTTATATTTTATAGATACCAATACGTAAATGCTACAAGTGTTGGATACATCAGCTTAGGATATACACACATATAATAGGACTCATACAATGCACCCTTGATGATAACTACTCTCCATTTCATATGATTTTTTCCATCATGACAACGACCCATAACATCTGTCTCAATAAACGTTCTCAAAAAGTTATACTAAATTCCAGATCATCAGACTAGGTGCACCTCAAGGCTCAAAATTGGGTCCGTTTCTTTCAACCATTAATATGTCTCGATTCTTTGAGCATTTGAAATATGAAACATCATATTTCTATGCGGATTATACCTACTTGGGCCTTGCTTTCGATGAAAGAAATACCGTCGCTGTTTGCAAGGAAAGTAATGAGGAACTTGCAAAACTTGCTGATGTTTTAGACAAATTTCGATGTCAACCCCTCTGAATCTAAAGCTTTGGGATCACTAACAAAACTTTGTTGACAACGTCAACGTATTGTGCTGATAAATCGCAAGAAATACTTTCTGCTAATAATCAACAATGCATCCCCCATTCTCAAATTTAAAACCGAAAAAATATCGAGCTCGGACAAAATTCATATAAAAATGCTTTATTTTTAGTACTTTTTGACAATGAAGATGAATAGTGTTCCATCACTCTTCGTCGAAAGTGAGCAATTTCCTTCAAATGGAAAGACAGATGTCGCATACCATTTCTGAACTCATGGATGAAATAAACCTTAACGAAATGATCCCAGAAATATAATATGAGAAACTAATGAATAAACAAACTTCATCACTGTCGTAAAGTGAATAGGAGAATATTTAGAATATTTATTGGGTTTGAATCATGATATTTGTTTTTTATATTACAAAATATTAGAATGAATATAAAACTGATAATTGCTTAGAATCCGATTTTGAGAAGTCGTATAAGTAAACAAAAGCGAGGTATCGAAAGACACACTCTCTCCTTTAAAAAAAGAATGTTTATTAGTTTAGAATTCGCAAAATGTTTTTTAAGGACAAAACACAAGCACTACAGAAAAATCCTTGCGGTGCCCTTCAAAAGTAGCGATTCACGTTGGATTTGAATAGCCGCAGATTGAATTCATTTGGAGAAACGTTATCAAGAAGTTTATTTCACATAAAAGCAGTTCTCCAAATGAAAGAGTTCTCGAACAGTGACGTTCGAAGTGTACTTACTGAGTTGAAACTCAAAACGATAAGAAGCCACAGTCCGTCGCGTATCTCTGATATGTACCGCTCTTCGTGGAATCAAATGTGCCAACTCACTTAAACACTTTCCGTGAAAGAATCTGTAGGGTGTTTCAAATTCGAGATCTCGGAAACTATGACAGATACGAAGATGGTTAAATTGACTAACAATATGCCGTTGAGAAAGTTCTGCAATTCCGAGTATATCCGGAGATATCCGAAAAAAAACAGAATGCTTTTCATTTCTCTTTTCTTCATTATGATTTCCTACCACGTAGTACCGGCTACATCCATTAATTTATTGCTTTTCATTTTTTTCTGGCTTTATTTTTCGAATAATTCGATAACGAATACATACTGATGTTTTCAGATTTGCTATCCGACGTTTCGTCTTGCGGCCACCATCATCAACTTTATTTTTTCTTATGGGCGTTACATTGGATTCTTTATGTTTTGAATAGAACCAGATTTAACCTTTTCAATGATGTATCAAAAGTTATCATTCTTTTTCGAAACATTGGAGATATTGAAAAAAATTCTTATCATAATAGGCTTTGAATTTGACGTTTTTAAATTTTACTTTCGATTTGTTACACTCAATGACATATTGTTATTATACAAGTCATTGAATTTTTGGCGGAAAATGACTATCACGAATGAAGAAAAAAGAGATATGATACAAATTTATTGCAAATACGATAGAAACAGTGTTAGGACATCGAAAATGTATTTAAACTTGTATCCCGAAAGACGATAACCACATCGAACTATGTTCAAGTTATTGGTTCAAAATCTCACCGAGTTTGGTTCGTTTGAAAAGCCAATGAATAAATATGTATGTAGACAGAATCAACAACAAAAATTTGATAAATGAGGTGTGTATGTGGTAAATTAGACATTGTATCCTTTTCAATGAAAATAGAACTTTGAATAAATAACACTAATCAAGCAAATGCTCAAAATGCTGGCCTTGTTCGTGATAACACAACTGTGACCTCCTTCGAATATTATTCACTGCACGATTAATTTCCCTCCTCCTCAATCTTCCGAACTCTCTAACAATGCTGTGTTGAAGGTCCTCCAAATTTTGATATTCCCTCTGACCATAAACTCAATTTTTCAGTGTACCCCATAAGAATGTATACATAACACGTAAGTCTGGAGACCTTGCTGGCTACTTCACCGGCCCATTATTTCCTATTCATTTATCACCAAACCTTTCAGTCAGGTAATTAGATACTCGTCTGGTAGTGTGTGGTGGAGCACCATCATGTTGAAACCAGATGTTGTTATAGTTAGCTAAAGGTAGATCATCCAAATAGTTTTCGAAAATCTACATTAAAAACTGGCATTCAGAATTGCGTCGGAATTCCGTTGTAAATTCCTGCCCACACGTTAATACTAAATTGCACTTGTTATGCTCCAAATGTGTTCGTTATTTCGGTTGAATATCTCACAATTCGTAAAAGTGCTTTCATCTGTCCAAATTACATTTTCCAGGAAAACAAGAAAATCAGGTCTTCTTATTAGCCAATTACAAAATTCTAATCGCTTTTCGGGTTCACCTGTAACGTTTTGTGAATTTTAAACCGATTTTTTCAAGATGTCTCCAAGCACTTGTATGACAAATATTCATTTCGGAGGAAATTTGACGTGTAGATTTCCCCGATTCATGTTCATCTGCAAATTAATAATGTTTATGGAAAAGGACACAATGTCTAACTTACCTCATACATAACACATTTATCAAATTTTCTTTAGTTTTCTGGCCCATTCTGTCTCCCTATTTTTTCTCGGCTTTTCAAATGAACCAAATTTGAACATACTTCGATATGGTTATCGTCTTTCGGGACACAAGTTTAAATACATTTCCGATGTCATAACACTGTTTCTATTGTAAATTTGTATCATATCTTTTTTTTCTTCATTCATGAGAGCCATTTTTCGCAAAAAATTCAATAACTTGTACAATAACAAAATCTCATTGAGTGTAACAAATTTCGAAAAATCAAAGTCAAAGCCTATTAAAATAAGAATCAATTTTTTTCAATATCTCCAACTTTTCGAAAAAGAATGATAACTTTTGATACATTTGAAAATGGTAAATCTGGATCTATTCGAAACAGTAAGAATCCAATGTAGCGCCCATAAGAAAGAATAAAGTTGATGATGGTGGCCGGAAGACGAAACGTCGGATAGCAAATCTGAAAACACCATTATACAGCAGGGAAAAAGTGGCAATGTGTCAGTGCAATTTATATTCGAATCCTTATAAAATAAAGTCGGAAAAAAAAACGATTTCAGAACTATTGCCCCAATTCAACCATCTTCGTATCTCTTATCGTTTTCGAGATCCCAATGATGAATATCGAATTTGAAACACCCTGTATAGAAGAGAGGCAAATCTCCAACCATTCTTCGATGTTCAAGACTATCAAGGTTGCAAGTGATATGCAGGGTATGATTAAGGACGGAAATCCGTAGATGTGAACAATACTCCAAAGACTCCAAGACATATGGTGTTCATTTTAACCTTCAACAAACTTATCAAAGCAGAAAGCGGAATTGTCCGTCCTAACGAAGCCATTTATCTTTTTGGGTTTTCATGGCCTGGGTTTTCATTGCTTAGAATTGAACCTAGTTACTTTCACCCCAATTCAAAATCACTTCTAGATCCTCATTAGGATATGTAACCTCCTGCTGCCGGTGAAGATGTGCAACCGCAGCCGATATTCTGGAATCCAAATGGAATGACGAGACACGTGTACTGTCGTCTGCAAGGCAATATAGCGGATTCTTGGTTCGAGATTAATGAATAGCCATAAATATTACTGGAGTTTTTTCCCAACACCAAATCGTTATTTTTACACCTCGACACGTGTTTCGATCACCAAGTGGTCATCTTCAAGAGGAAGGTAAAACTGCCATAGCCATAAAGGTTTCATTCCAAACAGCCAAATGTTCATCGTCTTACAACAGAAATGGAAACTAGGTAAATAGTAGAAACATAAAGGTCAGTCACTTATATCGTCTCTTGATGATGCTGACTTGGTTAGCGAAACTGGAATCTAGATACAGTGTTTTCGTTCTGGTGTGAGAAACATGTTTGCTTTTGTTCATGTCACGCCACTTAGAACAATTCTAGTTGTCGAATATTTTCAATATATTCTTACACTTTGCTATGGCGCTTTGTTAGGATTTTTTGAATTGTTTATGAAATATTTCCGTTTTCACGAAGTTCCTTCTATTCTGTCTTTTGCTCACTTGAATATTTTTTCAAATAACCTTCACACAATTGAATAACAACATAATGAATATTTATCCTCCACAAAAAAGAAAATTTCCACCAATATTCATAATAAATGTTGATGAATAAATATCCAGAACCCTATTTTCATACGAACCCAAATTAGCTTCATATTGGTAACTTTAGCGTTCCCGTCTAATTTTCTTCTCTGTGGGAGGCGAACCGAAAGAAATGGAGTAATAATAAAGAGCAAATAATCTAACGACCGTTTACATCAGGATTGTATAAAAGGAAAAAAATGAGAACATGAAAGAGGGGTTTTCAATAAGCTGATTGATTCCATTGCCTGACTTCCCAGCAAG